TTAATTTAGACTTGGCTAACCGATACGCGAGGAACTCACGTGCTGTGCGCGGGCACGACGTTAAATATTATAAATAAATAAATAAATATATGCCCATCTCAAACTGTTTTCAGAAGTGAAAATCTCCCCTGAGTTCCCCAGAATTGCATTGAATGTCAAACTTTTGTGCTGCAGGTCGATTATTATTTAGCAACTTGATTAAAAAAGGATAGGCCAACTCAATTTAAAGAGGCAGTTGGTCTCATAATCTGTTGGAAATAAACTATGTCGGAATGATTCATCTAGATGGAGTTATTTGGAGTCGGTGCTTGTTGCATTGTATTGGCTAGCTCTCTTGATGTGTGGATTCTGACATTCGGATAAAGCATTATCCGAATGTAGGCTAGATAGCAATTCCATAGCAACAACTCAGAATAACAATGAATGCGCATTTCTTCTGAACGAAAGTTCGAAATACTTACACAAGTACTCTCATAACTTTAAGTGAACTAATAGACTTTTAGTGTATGACCTTTGTCATACCAACAAACTAAGAATATGCAGAGCTCTTCGAGTGATCACGGAGAGAAAACGAGGTATAAACTTCGAAGAGTATCCGTAGAAGTAAATTATGTTTATATTTAAGAGTTTCTATCAAGCCTTTACTACAAACATAATTTACTTCTACGGATACTCTTCGAAGTTTATACCTCGTTTTCTCTCCGTGATCACTCGAAGAGCTCTGCATATTCTTAGTTTGTTGGTATGACAAAGGTCATACACTAAAAGTCTATTAGTTCACTTAAAGTTATGAGAGTACTTGTGTAAGTATTTCGAACTTTCGTTCAGAAGAAATGCGCATTCATTGTTATTCTGAGTTGTTGCTATGGAATTGCTATCTAGCCTACATTCGGATAATGCTTTATCCGAATGTCAGAATCCACACATCAAGAGAGCTAGCCAATACAATGCAACAAGCACCGACTCCAAATAACTCCATCTAGATGAATCATTCCGACATAGTTTATTTCCAACAGATTATGAGACCAACTGCCTCTTTAAATTGAGTCGGCCTATTGTTTATTGCTTGTTAATGTTTGTTAACCTTCGCTCCGATTTATTGGGATTTTTATCGGGGTTATTTTCTGTTAAATTTAAACATATATACACTAAAGTCATATCTGTAACACTGATATTGATGTCGATGAAAAGTGCACCCAAATTTGAAGGTCAACTTACAATCGGTGGAGCATGCACTTTCAGGATGTTCTTTCACTTTTCTATATCGAAGATTACATTTTGACAACAATTGCCAGCCTGGTTAACAAGAGATTAAGCCAGTGAATGAGAGGGATCTAATACTCATAAATAAGATAGAAGTACTCGAGTGGCAATCTCTCAACTTGTTCCAGTTATTTTTTTCACCTAGTTGACCCTTCATATACGCCCAAAAAATATTTAGATAATCTTCGGCAATTCTATCGGAGGACTTTGACGAGTTTTTGCAACAAATTAGAGGCTCAGTGAAGAACATGATGTAGATGTCAACGACTTTGTACGGAAATTATCTGAGTATCGAAAGAAAATCAATTTAATTGTCGGAATACTCAGGTGGTATTTATATCATAAGCTTTCTACAGCAGTAATAACAATTGACGGTTAACATGTATCTTCATTCTTGTCTATTCTAACTATAGGAAACACCAATATACAGTAGTTATCCCTCTCTTTTCACGCCATTCCTAAACCGGCAACTCATTACTCATCAATATAATTAGTCATCATTTCTGTGATAATACGTGAAAGGTCATGATATAATGTGATGTTCTATTGTACTACTTGAGTCTATGACTATCTAGCTCATTTATCTCCTCTCCGACCCAGGCCACCCCTTGTACAGTGCTCCTATCCTTTTTTTTTTCTTGAAAGATCATTGATACTTTTTTTTTTTTTGCATCAGATTTTGATTGCGTATGCAGCTATCTAGCTATGACACAATATCAAAGAAAAGTACAGAATAGATGATTCATCGTTAAGGAAGAGCACTCATGCCTCGGACTTCATTTGCAAGGACCACTGCGAAGTTATGGTGGCTTTTTCTTCACCCCAAGTCAACCCTCATCCGTGAATACCCACCCAGGGTAACATCTCAAAAGCTCTGGGTTATCCAGACAAGCCTCCGTCATCCATCAACTTTTCTCCGCGCGAAATATGGTCTGAGATATCTCCTTCCCAAGTGTCGTAGGTGCCCAGGCTACTCAAACTATACCGGAGAACACCACCAGGAGGCGGACCACAACACCTTCCATCGTTTGCTTGTTTTTATAGTGTCAGCTGCACTCTCGCAAGCGAAGTCTTGGCGCGCACAAAGCCCAATTCGAAAAACTCCTTGCCAAAATTCGGAATCTCATGCCCTTCGAGGTTATATCCGTCCTTCGCACCATCTTGTCAACTTGTCCAGATCTCTCTCACATCCATCCCAAAGAACTGTGTCCCAGATTTGTGCGCCACGCTTTCCTTCCTCCGTCGGGTATAAATATCGGCGTGGGCGTATATTTGGTGACCAGTTGAGGCCAGAGAAGGTCGAAGAGTGGTGTGGTCATTGGAATGAGGATGTACTTGGTCGTACTTGTAGACTCGATGAGACGAAGATAGGAGTCAAACTCGTTGGGAGCGAAATAATGACGTGGAGGAGTAATTTGGATTTTTGCCTCGTGGGCCAACTTCTTTGATATTGCGAAATTTGACTGAACTTGGCTTTGGGAGAATATTTCACTCCCAGGTTCGTAGAGGACACCGCGTACAGGTGTTCAGTCTTGCCCTCCCATTGATACATTGCCCATGATGAATAGCCAATCAGCTCAGTATTTACCCGTGGAATTCAGCCACCTTTTCCACGGAACTTTCTACCCTAAAAAAAAAAAAAAAAAAAAAAAGGTAGCAATGGAAACTGCGTGCGCGGGGAAAAATCTCAAAAGACCTGCAGCCCCAGCCAGGCGGGGCCTAGACACCGGGGCCACATGAGTTGCGCATATTCATCTATATCTCCTGGTACACGTTTGGATTCACGCGTGTGTCGATAACATGGCCTACTTGATAGCTCCAATCATTTCAACTTCTAACAGTTTACTTATTTTTCGTGCTTCATATTGAAATGGTAATTTCGAAGTATTGAGTCTTTTAGGATCAAATTCTCGGATACTCTCAAATTAGATGAAAGGCTCGTGCCTGACTCGCAAAAATAACAAAAAATAAATTGACTGCAACCAGTCGCATTTGGATATGTGTATTACGCTGCACATCTAAATTTTAAAATCTAGACTTGTAATGATGTTTAGGCCAGGAAATGGGAACCCTAGCCGCTAATATAGATGCTATTAGGAGACTCTGGATGTGGCTGAATCTTCTACTTGTTAGTTGGAATTTCTTTGCAATGTAACCCGTTTTTTTGAAGTTCAGTTGCCTTCTAATAGTAGGGTTGAGCGCTAGAGGACTTAAAGAGGAAGATCCACGAGATCTGAAAATTTCTAGCTTTGCAATCATTATATTAGTCATTTAATAACTCTAAATTTGAATTTGGTTTCAATTAACCCGATCAGACACCCTAAGGGTCCATGCAGGTGACTATCTTCATTATTTACAAAGGAGGAAACCAATTTGGTGAAAGCCCCCTGATGCTGTCTTTTTATGTTTTTATCAATTTATTTGGTTTACGTTCAGGAAGTGCAGCGTACACTGTTCAGCCCGTGTGGATTCCGTACTTTCCCCTTCCAGATCTATTTATTTTTTCCGGCATTGCTACCTCGACTTTCTCTGCAAGTCGAAACTGTTTTATCCACCCCTTGCTTAGTATCCACTGTGTGATTCTAGCCATATCTTCTTGGCTGTTCATTATTGCTTCAAATGACCTGTCTTTAGCTCGTCGGAAAAAGTCGCCTCTTCCATTTTCCCATTGCGGACACGCCAACACCTTGTGCTTGGTGTTTTGTGACGGAAATTCACATTGAAAGCTTGGGTTTTTTACTCTGGGTACTTTTCTTCTGCTCAGGTTAGAATTGAGTCCGATATGCTCGCTTCTTAGCTGAATGGCGACACTGCTTTGGGCCCTGGTTAGGTTACGGTGGATTCTTAAGGGTGTATCTTTTAAATTCATTTTAGTGCTGCCTGTTTGTTTATCAGTAAATATATTTGCCGCTTTCCAATGTTCTGGATCGGCTGATGCTGGTCGGCCAGGGCGCTGTTTCCTGTTCTGGCTTGTCCATGAATTCTTCCACTCCTGAAAGGCTGCTATCTTTCCAGCTTCTTTCTGCCTCCCCTTGTCCTTTTCCCTTCCGCAAGTTCTTGTCCATTCGGCGATATCTTTACTCTTGTTCAATGTATGCGGAGTTTCTCTCTCGTTTGCGGGCAGCTTTATCCTCTCATATGTCGAATAACTCTAATTATTAATCGCATAAATATTTCAATTTGTTAGAATTTAGAATAATTGGGGCTATCAAGTAAATCACGTTGTCGATACACTCATGACTACAAATTCTGTACTTAGTTTCACTTCGGTAGTTACTTGAATCAATGCGCTCTACAACCTCAATGACTGAGGGGTCATTATTTCCTTGATACAATTAAATATCTCTACTCCTTCCATCACCTCAAAGAGGGCGATCTTGGTAAATCCGGATATCTCCCCGTGACATAGGGGTTTTATTTTAGATGGAGTTAACCAACGTGTACTTTGTGCGTGAATAAATCCTATGTTAAAGGCCAACTGCTTTCCGAGTGCTTTCTTATCATATAATCTGTAACGTTATCTGTAAAAACATAAACAACTCGTGCTACCAAGTAATCCTAGCTGATATGTACTGCAATACTCTCATCCCAACATGTGGGCTTGTCAACTTACATCACGTGATAATATTTATACCAAAAATAAACTTAGGTGTCGGTATTGAAAGAATGTCCTTTAGATTTCCTGACTGAAAATTATAATCAAGCCACAATGAGAAATTACCTGTCAAACTAAATCATCATGCAAACGCCGCCCAACCTTTAAAGTCAGCAACGTTAGAAAAATCTCTAGCGGAACTTACCGGCGAATAGCAGAGCAAGGTTTCTCTCATCACTTGCCTGATTAATGAGATCATTGACTGTCGCATAGACACTTAATGACATTGTCAACTTTTTACGAATTCCTGCAAGAGCTCGTGCTGCTTCACCAGGTTCATTTATCAATCTTTTTTCGCTTAATTTTCCCGCATCATTTACGTTAGATAGATCTTGTTCTTCTAGCAACTTTGCAAGCCGAAATGGGGATACCGACCAGCTATAAAGGGGATCATAACGGAGAACGTCAAGGATACTCATTATGGTGTAGGATTCTTTTTGTAAAGTTTCTAGCGTGAACTCGCAACACCGCCGGAAAACACCTTCCGTCTTAGTGATACCCATTCCGTCAATAATATCTCGAGTAAGACGAAATGGAACTGTTTCAGGAATAGGTAGGATCCTACCCATTTCAAAAGCGATTCCAAGATCAATATGCACGATTTCTCCGCTGTTCTCGTCTAAGAGAATGTTGTTGGCATGCCGATCTCCTAGACCAAGTACATGACCAAGTATTGATATAGCCGCAGTACTGCGTGTATAAGCTTGCCGCTTTGAGAACCAGTCATCAGGATCGTAGAATCTTTCAGTAAAAAAATACCGCATGACAGGTTTAAATCTTTCTTTTATTGCCTTAAATGCCTTTATTCTGACTTCAGGACTTTTTGATTGAACCGCTATGATTTGACTCCGGCATTTTTCAGCCTTAATGTCCTCGGGATGAAATCGCTCATGCGCTGGCATCAAGTATTCGTGTAAAGAAACAGTATTCGAAACATATTCAATTACACCAGCAATATTGCTCAGCGGTAGAACTCGATAAGTCCTGATACTCAAATTGCGCTGCTGCGTAGAGCGATTAATCATGAGCAATTCATTCACTTGCTCAAAGACTTGTTCCATGATTGCATCTTGTCGAAGATCATCATTTCCGCCTTTAACCTAGTCGCACTTAGTTAAACTGTCATCTAAATATTTATTTGATGAGATAGCTTACTAGCTGTCTAAAATTCATACCATTTTCTGCCAATGTAGTGATAATTTTAGGTGCACTAATCCCCGATGCAATTGAAAATTCTGATCTCATTTCCAAAATAACGGGTATTCTAGAGTAATCGAGACTGGCTGAAAATGGTATCCGCATTGTTGGTGAGGGAATTGGATATGCTTTCAATGTAGAATTTAATGATTTTGCAGCTGGAGATATATCCAGTCGAAGCCTTTTTCCTGATTTGTATCTACTATTTTTTTCACTGGCTAGAACACAATACGCTTTACTTGTCGACTTAATGGCCATCCAGATTTTACTAGTCTCATTCAAATTTGATAATCGCGTCGCAAGTTTTAGAGCTGCTTTTTTCCGAGATACAGCGGCATCGTCTTTCTCGTTCGTATCGCTAAAAGAGCCTGTAAATACTTGATACATGCCATGATACGGATGATCAATACATATTTGAAAGACAAGTTCAAACAGTAGCTCCTGAAACGAGTTATCTACATCTTGAAGACGAGAAGTTAGTTGATTCATAAGAGTTGCAAATTTCATGCTCGGTACTTTTTTTAGATGCTTTGAAACTGCTCTATTGGCCAGATCTTCTGCTGAATGTTCAAGCCAGAGCGCTAAGAAACGTAAAGCGTCTCTATTATGATCATCTGAAGCTACTAAGCTAAGAAGGTAGTTTTCTAAAGAGTGCTTTAGGAATTCTTCTCTATTAGAGGTTTGGCGCAGAAGATCTCTTTCATCAATTTTCAACCATGCCTTCGCCTTAGCTTGACGAGATTGGCATTCTATCTTGTTTTCAAGTGATGAAGCTTTAGCTATGAGTTTTTCATAATCTTTGACTTCTTCAGCTTTATTTTTGCTCATCTGTCTAACCCTCTCAAGATCCTCGATAGAATCTGGATTTTGCAATTGTTCATCACAAAATGTAGCAAACTTGTGAAATACTTTGCCAGCTTCTCGACCTTTGAATTGACCCCTTAGTTCTTTGAGTGCAGGCCCTAGATACTTGATTATAATCGTACCGGGGTTTTCAAGTCTAGCAATTGAAATCTGATGGCCGATCCTTGCAAGTAAATCAGATCGACCGATATGTATTGTTTGTTTATCTAGAATTCCAGTTTGATCTAAAGTTTGAAGCATACCAATAGATGATGAGAGTTCTCCCTGGCTCCAGAGAGTTTTTGCAGCCTCTAAATGGATAGCAACTTCTGGATTTATACCAACAAGCTGACATGGTTGAATTAAATCGATCATAGATGTCGTAAGAGTGAGAACTTCCTGGAGGGCACCATGAGAACGATAAATATTTGATGATAATAAAGCTGTTTTTACTTCCATCAACCGACAATTAGCTAAGCTTAATTTCATCATTTTTTGGAGCTCAGATTTTTCACTTAATATACCGAGAGTGGTGCCTCTACAGGATAGAATTGGACTGACATCATCAAGTCTTTTAAAAGTTAGCTTGTGTGAAAAATATTTAAGCTTCTTACCTCCCAACCCTCATCCATGAGCAGCGCTTTTGAAATCGAGTCAGTAATTTTTCAAACTTTTCTGAGCCATGTGACTCAAATACTTCGCCCATCTCTGCTAACGCTGCCATGGTCTGTAAAGTCTCATGAAGCTCAACGGTACTCGGCTTCTTCGTAATCAACTTACTTATAGTGAATCCAAGCCCCTCATCTATGGCTTGCTTAACGGAGTATAGATCAGGGGAATTATTAAAAGTCTGATAAACCTTGTAAATTGATACGTTATTACTGCTATATGAGCTCGGCACAGGTATATCCCATTTTCCAAGCTTCCTTGATGTCTTAAATAAGGACTCGATAGATGATTGTGGTAGACCGCTTGATTGGAATGCTTGCAGTAAAGAATTTGAGACACCACTTAAATTTAAAACATCGAATACCTCAATTAATGACTGCAAATCATTCGAAGATGCCTTATTATTTTTTCGGATATTTTTATCGAAGAGGGCTCCTTTAAAAGCCAAGCTTTTGAGGCCATCTTTCTCGTGCTCTAGTCTAGCTAATATTGTGTCCAAATTTGCGCTTTGCTTAACGCCATAGTATAAGTCTGGATCATCGATATTTTCGTAAATTTGGAGTAGAAGTTTTGCAGAGTCTCTAGCTGGATCTAATATCTTTCTAGTACCTATTGACGGAGGAGTTGATTTAGATAATTGGGAGTAGAATTCTTCAACGAATAAGAGAGCTGTCTTAAACATTCCACAAGAGCACGCGGCTATGGCAGATTTGTAGAGGTCAATTTCAAGCCACCGAGTTCTATCTATGAATGAAAAGTCACCCGCTAACCCCTGAGTTCGAAGGTAAAGGATAGCGTTGATTAGGATCCTAAGATTTTCCTGTTCAGTAGTATCACTCTGAAACCATTTGTTAATAGCAGATGAGAGATCTGCTCTAATAAGTTTTGTGTTGCTATAATATGATGTCAAGACAAGGTGTAAAATAAAAGGAAAAGCCTGCTCAGCAGACCATGGAATTCGAGAGAGAACCAGCTCCATGGCAGCTAGTACTGGTTCTTTAGGAAATAATTTTGTAAGTGCTATTGAAAGATTAGATAGCCAATCTTGTTTGAAGATAGATTCTAAAGTTAGAAACTCAGATATATCTAAAGAAAACTTAGGGTGGTCTCGAGTTTCAGAGGGTGGAGGCTGATATGGAAACCAAGTTATTGCGGTTAATAATGATTGCGATATAATTTTTTTACAGGTCATCAATAGTCTTTCGTCCGCGGCTGCTACAACATATCGTAAAGCTTTTTCTGCAACACTGACAGCTTGTAGATCATTTCCTAGAATAAGCTCATTCAAAAAGCTGAGAGTTGCTTCAACAGAACTTCCCTCTCGGCCTGATAAAACTGTAAAATATTTTATCTGAGCTAGCTTCGACTCTCGCAACAGATCTTTGTGAATATATCCGGATGATGCAAAAGCTCTTCCTAGTACCTTAGCAACCCATGACTGATAATTTCTATTTGTAGAGTTCTGACATGATTTCCAAATTGCCGGCGAATAAATTATAGAACCTTCATCGAGATTAATAACATCAACCTCGCTCGAAACTGAACCATGAAAATCTGAACTAATCATGGCTAAAGCATTATCACGTGATGGTCTACTAAGTAAACCATTGCTTGAATTTTCATCACTTAAGAGACCAAAAAGAAGATTACTTTCTGCTGTTTCCATCTTTTTGCTCCCAGATAATTGTATGTTGATAGCTGCATTAATTAATGACTGAAAGGTATTTTTTGTATTGCTATCCGATAGAAAAGGTGAGTCGTAAGTTTGAAAATACCCTGTCATCCAAGAATGAAGCTTTTTAGAATTACATGTAGAGTTTTGGGAAAGAAAACCCTGAGACTCAGTTCTTTTAGAGGGTCTCCGTTGCCTCAATGAGCCGAACATTAAGATTGAAAATCCTGCGACGAAAGAGGGTACTCCTAAGAGATATGAAGAACCAACATCAAGGAGATATTGTATCATTCCGATGACGTCATCGGCACATTTCGGGTCCTGGACAAATGGTCCTAAGGACTGGAGTAACATCTCTAATGGATAACCAGTGGTAACTACACTTCCTGCTATTGATATTAAAACTCGTATTTTTCGTAAAATTGAACAGACATTCAAAGACCCGAGAGCTGGGTGTATCCTGTCCAACAGAAATCTAGAAATATAGGTGACTATAGTTGGAGTGAAGAGGTTTTCAACTTTATACTTCGTTCGTGAACAGAGAAATTTTATCTCAGCGGCTAGATACTTAACTTTGAACACTGGTTGGTTATTTGGTGGAAGTACTATATTAGATGTAGAAAATTTCTTGATCCTTTTCATTATACTGGTAGCATAAGCTAAGTCCCCTATTTTAAAATACTTTTCAAAGGTTGATTCTTGATCAATACAGTAGAACATTACGGCTAAGATTTCAGTAAAGTGATAATCTATGCGACTAAAGTATTCTTTTTCTCCGAGAGAGGTTTTCATAATAGATTCTGCGCCTAAGGGATTTCCAGGACAGGCATTTGAAGCACTGAGGTCAAAGGCAACGCTATATGCCATTGCTTGTGTAAAAGAGTCCTGCAGAAGGCAGATTTTATCTGATTCTAAGATATTTGCTAGTAATTGAACAGAGTTATCCTGACCTCGCATGATCATTAGAGCTGTAGCCTCCTCTGATGCAAGTTTGACGAGTTCTTGTAAGCTACCAAAGCCAAAAATTTGGAATGGAATATCATTAATACTCTCATGCTCTAACCACGTGTAAAGTATTTGAGAGCTGAACAATTTGAATAGTTCCTTCGAGCTTTTAAGTTCTAATTTCAGAGATATTTCATTTAGACAGCGTGTCGCGTATTTCGTAGAGCTCGGGATTTGGCTTGGGATTTCGAATATATGATAGATACAGCGACGGAGTAGTGTAGGCCATGCAGAGCCAATTTTAGTTAGCACAGCCATTCGAAGAGAAATACCTTCAATCGAATCTACATCCGACGGAAGACGGTCTAAAATATCAGCAAATACAGAATCATGATCTTTTAAAACAAAATTCCCAAGTATTTCTGGTATTTGATCTGCTATGAAGAATTTTACCCTGATTTCACTTGTTTGAAGTATCGAGAATAATGGAGATCGAGTCGAGAAATGTTCATCACTGAGTTCAGAATCAGGAGGTTTACTACATAGTACACTCATAAGTAGTTTAGATATTCTTTTCTGTCCCTCTGAAGAGGCTAGCTCTTTATCAATAACAGTAGTTGTAATCCATTCGTAAATCTGACTAGCAGATTTAGACAAGTCTGATCCTTGCGACCTACACCATATAGGTTCCATAGCTGACAGCATATTTGCGCAAAGCGTTAGGCTAACCTCACAGCGATCAAGATTATCGGAAGAAAGAATAAGTCCAATACGTTCAACTAGCCTGTTCGCGTCTGTGATGTTGATATCAAAATCAGAATCTAGGATATCTAATAGTAATCTTTGGCTGTAAAGAAACTCTTCATCAGTCAGGGAGATGATATTGTCGAAAAATTTTCTTGGTATAACCCTTGTACAATGAGATACTGTGTTCATGGTCGTCAATAAAGAAAGCTTTCCGATGGTATACATTTTGATGTAACCTGGACTTGCGTGGAGGGCTAGGCAACTTCTTGGCATTGCTTTGAGATTTTGATTATCTTTTTTTGGTTGAACATCCCGCAAAGGGGCCGGCTCCTCATCTAGATCAATCATTTTTATATCATTTGATCCTGTTTCGCATTCTACAGCCGGTATTTTCATAAAAATTTCGGCAACTGCTATCAAAAATTGGAATAATTCATTTACATTATCTTTCATGCTAGAAATGCTCAGTAACTGACACGGTGGTAAATAGGGCTGAATTTCTTGGATAAGAATTTCAGTGAGCTTCGTCGATTCCTCCGAGTCTAGTCTTTCTGGGTTGTCGGTGGAGCTTACGAGTTCCCTTGCAAAATTAAGAATAGATGAAGCTGAGGATCCAGACTTCTCTAAATTATTGATTCTGCACAGACTTATTATAGATAGCATTGCAATGCAACCGTAGAGTGTGCTACGATATATTTCTACAGATATGGGAGGGCGATGATCTACCAAGTAAGACCTCCAGCCTTGAAGAGTACTGACAGATAAAGAGTTAAGTAGATCAAGTAAAAGTTTTTGTAAGATTTGAAATTTTGCGGTGGTTGAGATAGAATTGGAGTTATCTAAGTCAGAAAACTCAGGGCAGCCAGAGCACAACTTCTTTGTAGTAGTTCGTGTTTCTGGCCATTTCTCTTCGACTAAAAGGAGGTAATCTAAAATCAGCTTTTCTTCTAAATGGCTATGCCACGCTTGCGCGATGGGCCCCATTTGTCTAGCAATAGGAGCATGTGGAATGTGATTTAATCCTAAACAAGCCCTAATGAGAAGTGATACATGTTTTGGTTGAACATGGATGGCATAATGTGCAGCAAAATATTTTTCCGCTAAAATTTTGAGTCAGTAATGTTAAGTAAAGCTATTCTATGGCTCTCACCTGGCTTCCATCGAGCGAAAAACCATCTAAGAATACATTCTGATGTAGCCACACCTGCGCCAGGTACTTCTGTCTCCCGAATTTTGAGCAGATGAACCATCAAGGATATACTCGAATCGCAAAGAGTAACTGGGCCATTATGTTCAACGGTTCTAATAATTGAATCTACATCATCCGCAACATCCTGATATAAAACTAATTTCTGAGTTAACAGCGAGTGGAGGGCAACAGATGCCGAGCGACAGGTGTAGGTATACGTGAGAAATCGTATCCCGATACGCCAGAGCTGCATCCACTTTTTGGTACATATTTCTTTCGCAGAGCTTTGCAAAGTGCAGCTGGCCATTTTGGTCAAATTTGTGCAGATATCGATTAAAGCGTACGTACCTCGCGATAGCTAATAAAGCCCACGCTTGAACGTTATCTCTTTCAGAACCAGAGCATAAATGTAGTTCAGCCAACAAGACCTCCAATTCGTAGCAAGGCAGTTGAGTAATTTCCAGCACAAATATTAAAATTTGAAGTCCAGCGGTTTGTTCTTTCTCATTATTAATAGCTATCGAATTGATAGGACAGTGTAATATCGGAAATACACGCTGACGTTTTCTAGGATTTTGTTGTTTCTCGGAGTGTTTCTCGGGTTCTTTTTTAAGGCTCAAACTATTTATTCGTTCCAATATCGCAATAGCTAATAATATTGACCAGTTTCTTTCAGCTTGAATATCATGCTCTCTGAGCTGAAAGTTGTATAGACCGAATGATCCAGTATAAATTGAGCTCTGATCAATCATTTCTAAGTCATGCAATTGTAGTTGGTCACGCTCAGAGCGTTTTGAATAGTCTATCCTTATAATTTCTAATAATTCACCTAGTTGTGATGAGAATCCATTGCATATTTCTTCTTTGATAGTGCATTCTATGTGGCTATAAACAAGGAATATAAGAATCACCATCTCGTCTCGCACGGAATTTAACATCTCGTCCTTTACCGCAGTTTTCCTACTCAAGAACTGCCCAATTATTGGAACCAGTTTCTGGGCAGCAATTTTGGTGAATGAGATATGGTTGGTGCGGGTAAAGTGTAAGATTCTGTTTAAAGCAAAAAATACCAGTTGATTTACTTGACTAATACTGGAGCCTTGCAACAGGAGAAATTGTATGGCACAGTCAGCTATTGGAGCATACCGCTCTGAAATGGGTGCATTTGGAGTATTTATAAGTGTTATGATTATTTGAAATAGGTCTTCAACATTCTGTCGTGTGAGGTCACAATTCGGACCTTCGTTTGAGATAGCACATAAGTTATTTATTGTCTTTACTCTATTTTGGTGTGATAATTTCTGAACTGAAGACTCTGCTCTGTTAGCATTGATATACTGGTTGATACCCTGAAGACAGAGATCAATTGTCTCGAGCCAAGTGACTAATTTCAAATGTTCTGTGTGAGGAGTATGTTGGAAGATAATAATTAAACATTTTAGAATATCTTTGCACAGAGGCTGAAAAAATGCTTCCTCAGATATGGCTAGTACTTGGATGTGATTTTTGACTAATGTATCCACTGTTTTTGACTTTATAAATGGTGTTGCTGCCCGGACTACTATTCTCATTGTCTCAGCACATATTTCAAGCTGCCTTGTGGACTTTTTCGATTTGAGATAAGACTGTTTTTCTAGTATAATGGCCTTAAATAAGGCTTCAAATATTTTTTGAAACAATTTGTCATTAATGGCTGACCTAGTTGCCGATCAGCGTGCAGTTGTGTATGGCTTCAAGGTTATAACAATTTGGTAGCTCTACGTGAATTTTCGAAGAAAATCTTCAGCTCTGCAATTTATCAGAGCAAATCCAAGCTTTCGTACCGCACCTACCACTCAAGGCATCAGACCGAACTTTCTGTTTGCTACTAGAAATACTAGCTTTGAAATATTTAGTTAAATTTATTGGCTTCTGTGCAGGTGTTTTTTACATGTAATAGACTCCAATCGTAATTTTCCGCCATCGGAAGCCATTCTAGCACAGGTGAACCTTATTTCAGATTATAAGGATGTCCTGTTCAATAATTTGCCGAATCTCGAAACAAAATAAAGTAATTAAGACTTTTCGACTAGAGAAGTCTACAGTAGATACAGACTTACTACTGAGCCCACCAGTAGCCTAGACATAATATTGAATGTGACGCGCAACGCGAACCCCTGTCTTGAATTTCAAGCGACATTTAGCAATTCGTACAATAATCCACCATGTCAGCGGTTTGGTAACATTTAGAACTTTATTATTCTGAATGTCTTCGTGCAGATTTGTCTTATGCCTTCATGTATTATATACATTAAGATTTGAATAGAACTTTCCGCTTTACATCAACCCAAAAAATGGCCGAATCGACTAGCTATGGGAGCCTTCAAGTTTTGTATACTGACCTTCTTGCGCTCTCGGAAGAAAGACTCTCAAGTCTCGAAAGACTCGGCTCTCAACTAGACGCTCACATAGAAGATTTTCGAAATTTCTTGCACAAAAATCCAAGGAACGATACCGCTCGTAAAAGTTTGAGCAATGGTACGCACCATCGCTTAAGCCGCAATCTAGAAATTACTGAGAATATATAGGAAAGCTTGAAATAGATGGGATTGAGTACGCTATAAATGAGGAGTTTCAAAGAGGTGCACAGCAACTGGCAGACGAGCTTGACCTAGATGAACTCGACGCTGCCAAAATCTTCTTCAGGGTTCAGGTAGACAACCCAGTTCCAGGACAACCAGTTTTAACAAATGCTATCATACAATTTCATCAGCGAAGGAAAATTACTCTAGATTGTCTTCGGTTACTATGTCAAATGTCTGCAGATGTTGATCTAGATGAGCTTTTGAGGGAAGATCTACAGTCTATAGTTGGCCATGTGATTTCGCCGCAATCAGACTCTAAAAGATTTACCTTAAAATGTATATCAAGCATGACAGATATCAGGAACTGGCTTCAAAGACTGGGTGACAAGATAAGCGGTGCTTCAATCGTCGGTCAATTTAATGCGGAAACACTTGAGGTAATTGAGTATCAGAGAGTCAGTCTAATAAGGCAACATGAATCTATCAGCACAATACTATTATACTTAGTACGAGAAAATCATTCTGATATAGCCGACTTCCATCATATCGTAAGCACTTTGAAAAAAGCAGATAAATACGACTATTTACTTGGTATGAGACAACCCTTTGTTTACCCTTCTCTCGCCTGCAAAATTAGATTAGCTAATTAAAAGCCAGTACACCACATTCCTATTATATCTGCATACATTTCCAAGTATGGTGGTACAGATGCCGTTGGCGGCATGGTCGAAGCCCAAACTTTGCACGAAAAACTCATGGCACAGGATGATAAGTCATGGACGTTGGTATATTTACAAGCAGCATTTCGACTAATGTGGCTAGCTGAGTACAGTGGATGGTACAGCGAATCGAATGATGCTAACGTTCCTGACAAGCAACAAGAAGAAGGTAGATTCAAACTGATGCGTTAAGAATTACAAAACTGTTAACAAAATTTCCAGAAGCTAATCATCGCAACAAGCTAATCACTGAAGCTTTGAAGGATGGAGCTCTTGATTTCATTCTATCAATATCAGCCGATGTAAAATCTTCTGAATGGCACGACCCCGCTCGTCATGGATTGCGCCAGTGGCTACAAAGAAAATCGCCATCATTGCTATCTGATACAGTCACTTTCTCGGGCTTTTTCCAAAGTATCTTAATGGAACAACTAGAAATATTTGTGGAATCTTTTATTACAAATCTACCTGACGTTTTACGGAAATTACGGATCGATGAAGACGAGCAACGGCAATTGAGCAAAGATCACGATCATGACCTTGACTTAGAAAGGTTTATTGTAATAATATCCTACACATTTGAGGGTCGCCCTAAAGCAGCATTTGAAGGGTTTTGGGATGTACCAGACGGAGCTCTAGTTGGATTTGTACATTGGGCCTCTAGAAGGGCATCTACCCCACTTGTCAGTGCATTTTGCGAGATGTTACAGTCTATTTCTGAAGACAATGAGTGTGCAACCGCTGCACATCATTTTCTGTTAGAAGAGGGAGTTATGATGTCAGGAAAGATGAGACGTGCGCATTCTCTCACATGGAATCAGATATTCAAAGAACTAAGGTTCTTCTCAGGAAAGATCAGGGATTATCCAACACCTTCTCAATCTCAAAGTTTTCGCCCATCGGTTCACAGTATCATGTTAGAAGCAGAACCTGAGTCAATTATGATGCTTGAATGTTACCTGAGGCTTATTACACGGCTATGTACCGAAAGTGAAGCTGCACGAACATTCATAGCGCATCACCCCTCGTTTAACATCGGGGAGCTTCTATTTCAACTCGCAAGTAGTAGTATAGGCCCACGGCTCAGAGCAAATGCTTTCACCACCCTTCGGTCATTACTTAGCCATAAAACTAGAGAGTCAGGCGAACATATTTGGACTGCCCTGGATATGTGGGTCTCAGGAGGTAATTCTCCGGGATCTAAAATTATGAAACACACATCTCTAGTGACAACTACAACTAAGGGCTCAATATTGCAGGGTCTTGCATCTGGATTTGAAGAACCAAATGCTTTTGTTCAGCTTCTGCATGCCCTCGTGCTGCCGGTGGAAGATGAAATCATTCCCAACAATAGTCTTCCTTTTCCCGAGAGCTTAGGTATATCTATAAGGCAGCCAGGAATTGATCCTTACGTTGACTTTGCTATCGGTGAAATATTTGGCCAACAAGCACAATACAACGGTGCTTTAGACATTGTTCAGCGAAGAATATTGAGTCTAACTTGTTTGGATTTTATGGCAACATGCTTGGAAACATTCAACGAAAATTTAATAATTTTGGGTAGTCAAGCTAACATATCAATTGACTCCGCAATTAAGGCATCAAGCCTTCAAAATTATGTTTTATTGCACCCTTTCTCGAGGGTCATGGAGTGGATGTTTAACGAAAAGGTATTGAGAGCGCTTTTTGCCTCGGTTCACCAAGACCCAGCAGAAGCTGCTCGTGCGGAACCAGATTCTCCACTAATTCTCTGCTTATCTCGTGGTCTTCGCGTGATTACATTAATTCTTGAACTTCAGCCAACATATCTCGATATAATTAGGCCACTCCTTCAATCGTACCTACCCCACCGGCGTGTTCGTGTGTCAAATACTTCATTTTCAAGCTTTGAGGATGGAATACTGAATCATCTTTCAATTTTTCCATTATTGGGCAGATACTGCGGCACGGGTCATCCCGAACTAATAGTATCTTCACTGAGACTCCTCGAGAAACTTTCATGTTCCCCAAAACTTTCACAAATACCTAGCGATCTGCGGCGAAATACTGGTAGAAATAAAGCCATCGCTGCTCTAGACGATGATTCAGACACAATTTCAAGGATCTTACAAGGAGAAGTAGAAGCAGAAATTGATATCAATCAGGGCCCTGAATCACCCGCCTATATCATAAAACTTCACATATTAGACTTTATAAGCTCATGTCTACAAGCGTTTCCAAATCAGCCAAGCATAGCACATTCTCTACTCGGATTCCGATGCGGAAAAGAAGGGCTATATATCGATCCTCAAAGCTCATTCAATCAAGGAACCTCTCTCTTTCACGCTATTCTCAATCTGGTCATATGTGATCCAATAGAAAACAACGATGGTATCACGTCATGGTTAATTTCCCCTCATCTAAGCGCTCTTCAAGTATTGAAAGAATTATGGAGTGCACCAATTTCATCTGTAATTACTATAGCAGAGATGCGAGAGACTGAATTCTTTTTCCATATGTTTGTAAAGCAGCCCATCATACAGACTGGAATGAAATGGGATGGAATAGAGGTTAGGGACACAAAACTAGTATCACCGGTTGCGGCTACTTGCTTATCAAAGTTCTTGGGGAGAAGAGCAGTTATTTTTCAGTATCTCTCAACTGAACTTCGGAAAGTTTCACAAAATCACAGCTCATCATTGAAACAACGTCTTCTAGAAACCCTAATGGGCTCTACTAAGTTTGAAGATGGTAGTGCAGTAGATCATGCTAGCGTCTTTGAACTATTTGACTTTATGGACTTAGAAATGATTACACTCCAGCCACCACCTCGAATTACCTGGGTTACCGATGCAGATATCTCAGCTTGTTCAAATGACTCAGGCATCAACAGCCCCGTACCAATTGTGAATTTGTCAAAACTAGAAGAATTACTAGTACTAAAACGATCAGAGCTCGAACATGTAAAAGCTATTGAGGATCCACACCAAATAACTCTTATTAACACGCAAGCAAAGGAGCTACTTGAGTATTATGAAAACTACAATCAAATCAAAATATTTTGTGTCTATCGTTACCAGGCCTTAAAATCTTGGGTTCAGTTGATATTAATTATAATCGAAACTGGAAACTTTGATGACACATCGAAAACAAACTTTGCTTTACGTGCTTTGCAAGCTATTATGCCACGGCTAGAGAATGATAGGGAAGTAGTAGACGAAGTGTTAGAGCTCGCTAAGCTCGCCAAGTCTCTACTGTTTAGCCTAAATTTTGGCGCCGACTGCTTTAGACAGGGTGATGTTGCTGAACTTGTCAGTGATAGACTTTTTCATTTATTTCAAATCTCTCTCCGAGCTATCAGTATTCTTGGGACCAAGGTTTCACTGAAGGAATGGTATTATAACATCTGTTATCGGTACTTAGCTGGCATGACAGATACAACGGAGGCAACTAATCGGCATCGTCGGGAAAGTCTTCAGACAATTAAGGCGGCGGGAGATAAATTTATAGATGTTGTGTGTGACGACGCAAGTAACGGCGAAACAATGTGTAGAATATCGGCTCTATTACTTCTTACGTGCCTCGTCAAGACGAGCAAAGATGAGAATTCGAAGTATATGGTTCATTCTATGACCCGCTTTAATTTTATTGGGCTGCTCGTTGAATCGTTGCGCGAGATTCCTCAGGTTATACGGAAGTCAAATGTTGACGGTAAAAAATTTCCAGTGACAATAAAATTTCAAATCTAATCAATGTCTAGAAATCGAGATGCAATTATCGTATTGCCACGCAAGATTGGCGCTTATCCTAGAAATTTCTCAGACCCGCTTTGGCGCAGCTGCTTTATGTGACGCTGGACTTTTCCACGCCATTCATGATTCTGGGCTGTTTTCAATCGACCTTGATTTAGGAGTTGGTGAGTAAATGGCAATACCCGAGAAGTTAAGCTAATATTTAGACCTTGACTGTCATGGTGCGGTAGGAAAATATTACGATTTGACTGTCGCCTTTGTTAGAATTATTTGTTCAACAATGTTGAGTCGTGGGCCGCAAAATCAGCAATTTCTTCAAAATTGTCGACAGTTTCTGACGGACAATCGACTCTCGATATTGAGCATTCTTAAGAAGTCGGCTGGGCTTGGTTTCATAGTCGGGATCTCTCCTAATACCATTGAGGATCTAACGGATTTATATTTGCTTCTCATCTCATATACCAATTTCCTCGAGGTGGCTGATCCCCATTACAACAATACCAACTTATCCTCACGTGGCTTAACAAGCTTCACATAAAAGTTTGACAAGCATTTACCATGCACTAACGACTATGGACTTAAATTACATTAAATAGTAAGTTGAACTTTGCACCAAGAAAACTAGTCACGATGAAAAGTAACCCTTCTCGACGGAAACATCGGAAAAATTACGCAAAACGTGCCGCCAACTCGGCATTAATTCACATTAGAATGTAACTTTAAGGTTTCACACGTCCATAACGAGGAATAAATTGAAGTATACTTTTAAACGGCCTATCAGATTCTGAACCTCTCAGATAAATCTTCTGCGCCGCTTGCGTGCCTTCATGATTCAATGAGTCCTTGTACCCAAGAATATAAATGGAACCCTGAATTTTGGCTCAAACAGAAAGTAATTTAAGTCATTTTGATGTGGTTAACTCTTAACACACACTTACAAAGACTTTGAGAAAACAGCTAAAGTTAACGTAGCAGGCATGCTGAAAGTTTACTCTACTATATAGACACTTGTGCAGGCGCGCCACATTGGCAGAGAAATCCAAGTGATATCAAAGCGGCTAAAATTCTCGACTTGGCCTTTAAGGGATAAAACTCGCTTAAATTTTATTCTGCATACTGGCAGGCTTAAATTTCTTATGTATATTTATGATTTACGGTCATTTTTAATTTAACCTCATCCCATTACAAAGTTCTTAAACTCAGTCGTATACTGGTTGGTCAAGCCTCGATTGAACTACTAAAGACTCCGACGCATCCTTGGAGACCAAACTTTCTATAGAGTCCGCCAACTACTAGGTACTCAAGAAGGAATAACCCTTAGCTAAAATCTCAATACATTTAATAAATAGATATCAATTTATCTCCAAGACTCCACAGTGAATTTCAAAGAACACGTAAATATTCACACACAAATATGATAAATTTTAGTGCAGTAAATCGATTACAGTATGGCAACTTAATTACAGTAGACCCTTTCTACTTATCGCAAAGCCTACTTTTTTGCAATACTTGATTTGGATACAAATATCTACCTTGACGTACTGCTTATGACATGGCCTGACATTTCTATTTCAACAGTATATACGTAAATTGTTGGTTAGACTGCGTACTGTATATACAGTACTCTGAGTGGCTGATAAGATTTATTGGTCGTTTATTCTATCCAAGGGATGGCTCGCCCTGCTATAAAGCATTATAGAGTAACAAGGTACAGCTAAGGAGGCTAAAGACTGAACACCTGTATGCGGTGTCCTCTTCGAACCTGGGAGTGAAATATTCTCCGAGAGCCAAGTTCAGTCAAACTTTGAACTAAAAAAGAACTTGGCCCACGAGGCAATGATTCAAGATACTCCACCATGTCAATTTTTCACTCCCAACAAGATTGACTCCTACCTAGGCCTTATCAATTCTACAAGTGCGACCTAGTACATTCTCATTTAGATGAAAACACCCCTTATCGACTATTCTCTGGCCACAGCTGACCATCAAATATACACCCACGCCGATTATATACTCGGAAACAAATCATGGCACAAAGATCTAGCAGGCAGTTATTTGGGATGAACATAAGATGGGTCAGGACAAGTTTACAAGATGATACGAAGGAAAAGTACAATCATGCCGGGTGTGATATTTGAATGAATGCTTGTTCGTGACCGGCACAACCTAGCACTCATAGAGCATGATACGGAAAAGGCGAGTCCTTCCCTGACGACTGTATACGACGATAGCTCAGTGTGGCATTTAGTCTACTCATGTTGTGGGTGCATTCGCTGGTACCACTCGAGAACTCTGTGCCAGGGACTTTCACCCTTTCCTCAACCGTTAATATCCACAAAAGTGAAAGCAGGAAAACCCCTTGGCTACCCTAAAATGACTTTGTGAGGTCGTATCTCGCGCGGCGGCTATATACAAGATGATAGTCATCCCTTTCTCGAGTGAGGCAGGCGTCCAGGCTACCCAGACTTTATTGGAAATTCTGACTCTCGAATTAATGACTCAACCATTATCTGTCTCATCTCAGGTTCCCGACAAGATTGACTCTTTCTACGCATGTGCTGAGTGCGCTAATCGCACCTACTGTCGCATATACGTTTGTGTATTTACGTACTACAGTGTACCTTAGCTCATCATGGTAGATGAGAGGTGGCTAATCATCACTAGGTTTGACAGGCACATGAGACTAGTAGGAATTTCTCCCTTAGATGCATATATAGACCCAATGTGCTCATAGGCTTAAAATACTAAGTCTTCTTTACTTCATCACATATATCCATATAATACCATACAGTGTAGATTTTCCAACAGAATTTAATTCGGGATGATGACGACCAGGAGGCGGACCAAAACACCTTCCATCATTTCTTGTTTTTAGAGTGTCAGTTTTACCATCCGATTCGTTACCTTTGCGTCCACAGACACCCTTAAGTCAAAAACGCTCAAAAAATGTGCGTCCCAGCATGCCAATTTGTGACCTCTTCACTCATTCATCCCACGTCCCAGCTGCCTGTCCTCCTTCCAGTTAAAGAGCCCTATTAGAGCAAAAGTCTCTCATAGACCAAGACTTGAGCTTTGTTTATTATGAGTTGGTTTCTTCCTCGCGGGTATACATAGCATCGTAATTTTGTAGTGGGAGATGGCCGGTATTTGATGAGGCAAATGCTCGATTGCAATTGGAGTAACACCATTATCGATATTTGAGGCGAGTTGATGTAGTAAGATTGAGGTGGAGGACTCAGAAGAAAATGGTGAGTGCTGCATGATTGAGAAGTCGTCAAATCGAGATATGGATGTGTTTGCTTTCGACTTCGATTCGGATGCGATTCTTCTTGGCTATCCCAGATATACTGAGCAATTACATCGGCACCACTGGAAGCTGAAGAATTAGTCTTTGCCGACATGTGAGATTTGAAATTGTCATAGTTATCAGCCATGCGCTGTTTCTAAATGAAGTGATATCGGTTCTTGCGTTTATAATATTTTCCCCTGACAATGACTTCTTTTGTAGTATTGATATAATAAAAAACACACATTCAAACACACCGACTTCTAAGTAATGTCACCCCTTGGCAGAAATTTTGACAAGGAGATTTATAAACTGAGGGACGTTGTGTGGGCTAAGACTTTGCTTGCGAGAGTGCAGCTGACACTGTAAAAACAAGCCGAAGATGGAAGGAATTGTGGTCCACCTCCTGGTAGTGTTCTCTGGCATAGTTAGAGTAGCCTGGGCATCTTCTCCACTTGGTAAGGAGACATCTCAGATCACATTTCGCGCGGAGAAAAGTAAATGGATGATGGAGGCATGTCTAGATAACTCTGTATTTTTGAGATGTTACCCTGGGTGGGTATCGACGGATGAGGGCTGAATCGAGGTGAAGAAGGCACCGTAACTTCGCAGTGGTATTTGTAAATGAAATACGAGGCATGAGTGCTCTTCCTTTGTATTGAGTCATCTTTTTTGTAATTTTCCTTTGACATTTCGCCACGGATATTCGCATTCATAGCTAGGGTGTTGGGGGACTATTCTCAACACCTGTCAGTGATATCCCCTACGAACCTCCATCTCTCACTGTAGAGTCTGCAGAGCTGAGATTGAGTAACACCTTTTCAACTTAGAGCTGAATTATCTACCACTCCATCAAAGATGCGCTTCCAATGACACATGAGACGATTAAGACGACGATAATGATGCTGGGAATAAGGAAATATATTGCGCTACCAAATGTCACAACGATAGTTAGAGAAGCCCTCGTCATATCACCACATATGCTACCCACCGGCAGGAATATACAGAGCCCACGAAAACAAGGTAAAAGACCCTTCAGCCCTCAAGATAGGCAGATTTCGACTGGACAGTAATATCGTCCCTTCGGGCTGGGTGGTGCAGTGGTACACCAATCAGGCCATTCTCCCATGTAGATTCTTGGTGGTTCCAACACCTACCCATTTGAGACAGGAGAAAGTTGGTGCAATTCCAGTAAAACCCACACTCTACACTCTCTCGCAGTGATATTGTAAATGTAGGATGATGAAAGCACACTTGGATAATCACAGGTTTTTCACGCTTTTCTCTGTGGTAGGTATGCACGGAAGAGGTTATACGCCGTACGGGTTAACCTCTTTTTTTTTTGCATCAGATTTTAATTGCGTAAGCAGCTATCTAACTATGACACAATATCAAAGAAAAGTACAAAAAAGATGACTCAATTTATAAAAGGAGCACTCATGCCTCAGATTCCATTTGCAAGTACCACTACGAAGTTATGGCGGCTTTCTCTTCACCCCAAGTCAACCCTCATCCGTGAATACCCACCCAGGGTAACATCTCAAAAGCCCTGGGTTATCCAGACATGCCTCCGTCATCCATCAACTTTTCTCCGCGCGAAATGTAATCTGAGATGTCTCCTTCCCAAGTGGAGTAGGTGCCCAGGCTACTCAAACCATACCGGAGAACACCACCAGGAGGCGGACCACAACACCTTCCATCGTTTGCTTGTAAACTTGTCCTGATCCCTCTCACGTCCATCCTAATGAGCTATCTCCCAGATTTTTTCTCCATGATTCGCTTCCTCCGTCGGGTATAAATATCGGCGTGGGCGTGTATTTGGTGGTCAACTGAGGCCAGAGAAGGTCGACGAGAGGTATGGTCATTGGGATGAGGATGTATTATGTCGTACTTGTAGACTTGATGAAGTTTAGTTGAGAATCGATCTCTTTGGGAGTGAAAGATTGACATGGTGGAATAATTTGAAATTTTGCCTCGTGGGCCAACTTCTTTGATACTGCGAAATTTGACTCAACTTGGCTCTGGGAGAATATTTCACTCCCAGGTTCGTAGAGGACACCGCGTACAGGTGTTCAGTCTTGCCCTCCAAGGTTTAACCTCGAGTGGTATGTGCAAATGAAATCTGAGCGTGAGTGTTCTAAACGTCAAACTGAGTCATCCTGCAAAAAGTCCATATCTTCCGATGTAACCTGCATAGGCCTCAAGGCGCCAAATCAGTACAATTGAATAATTATTTTAATGTCGTCCCTTCT